GCTGAAAACTTACAACCAAACTGCAAAACCTACAATTCCCTCCAAGTATCTCAGTTCTCCTCACTCATAATCTCAACTGTCATTATATCTTTACTACCAGTCAAATTCTCTATCAGTGAACACTATCCCTTTCATTGCATACCTTCTTTAAAGCACATAATGTAACTCTCATTTTCTCTTGAATAGTTTGTCCATATTCATCTTAATTCTGTACCAAACTGTTTTTTACAAATGCCTCATAAACAGAGAAGTAGTTGGCTAAATGTTGAGCAACTCACAGTGGATCTGTTTAGTTCATTTTACTGGTCTAATTATGTACTAGTATCCAAAATTACATAAATTTCCTTTACCTTTCCTCACCAGATACTCCTGATTCTTCCATTACCATAAACTTCCTAATGTTAGAATATGACAAGGCTCAGGCTTAGGCATTCTTTCTTTCCTTCTTCTTTAATGATCTCAACCAAGCATATGGATTTAAATACCATCTATTTTCTAACAGCTTCAAAAGATACATCTCCAGTAATGGCCCTCTCCTAAACCATTAGTTTTTATATATAATCCCTATTTAACATCTCCACTTGATATTTACATGAAGTTTACATGTACAAATCTAATTGTTTTCATTTTCTGCATTAGACTTGTTCTTTCTATAGTCTTCCCCATCTCAAATAATTTCAACTACTGCCTTCCACTTAGTCCCACACCTCAGAATCATCCTTTATTCACCTTATCTCGCATAAAGTATAGCCCACCAAAAAGCAAGCAGCTTTTTCTACAAAACACACTGTGAATCTGACCACTTTGCACCATTTCTACCATGGGCCAAGCAACTATGTTTCACTAGACCTGTTAAGAACTACCCTCTGGCTCCCACTTTTCCTGGCCCATATATACACATATATATCATCTTGTGTCTGCCCCCACACAGAAATCCTTTCATAACTTAAAAGTGATCCTGCCACTCTTTCCTAATTACAAAACCTTCTATGGCCCTCCATGATCTAATCCATCTACTCTGACTTCATTTCCCACAGTCTTCTACTTGCTCATTCTATTCTATTCTTGAATGTTCTACTCTACTGTTCTCCTTCCTGAAAGACATTTCTCCTATGTATTCATACTACTTAACCATACCCCCTTGGGAAGACTCTCTGTGACCCCTAAATTTAAAATGCACCACTATCCAACACCTTCTTTCCTCCATACCCATTATTTCCTTTTTTTCTACCCACTATAATGTAGGCCTCGAGAGATGCTACTTTCCTGAATGCTGCTCCCCCAGGGTCTGGAACTTGATTCATGGCAGGCACTCAATAGAATCTACTCGACAGGTTTTCCTGAATGCTTCCATGTTCAGTGTCATTTTTTTATGACATGACATGGTACACCTCCACAAACATCTTTTCCATTCCTTTCTTATTCTATATCTCAATTTAGAAAGTTACTATCTGTCCACCTAATAAAGTAGGTAAGTCAGAGACATTAGCAGTGCTTTTCATTCTGCAGGAGACAAGGAACCCGCCTTCCTTCCACCACTCTAACCCCTCTTTTGAACTCCACTGCCACTTTTGTTCTAACCTCACTGGATCCTTACTACCCAAAGGAGAAAGCTGAGTTTTCTCAACCAGAAAAGCCAGGCTTTCTGCCTAACTAACCACAGCCCTTGTTTAAGCTGCATATCTTCATCTTCCCTCTTTCCAATACGCTGACCTAACTCTCTCAGTTTAGCATGCTTTTTTGAGCTTCTATTACTTTTAATATTATTCATTCAACCTCATATATTCTCTCCAATAAGTAATTTCCTCATCACAAATATAACTCCTATATGTCAGCAAAATAATAACGGCTAGTAACTATTGAATATTTATTATAATCTAAGCAATTTACTTGCATTATAACATTTAATCTTTAGGCAAGAAAGATAATAATTATAATTTTATTATAATTTGTCCTGGGTCACAGAGTTGAAAAGTTAGATAAGTTAGGATTTGATCTAGTTTTACCTAATTTCAAAGTTTAAAGAATAAAAGTCTAAAGTGATTTCAAGTGCTTAGACTTTACCATGCACAAGTCATTTTGAAACCATTCATTGTACTTCTGTGAAATAAGAACCAAAAACCACAAGCTAAGAAGCAACCACTTTATAAAACTATTCATGTAAAACAGCAAGGATTTCACTATCAAACATTATTTTCATTTGTAGAAAAATATAGAACTTTTACAGATATATTTGTTTGACCAGTGAAAGTACCCAAGTTATGTGTCCATTAGTAGCATACAGTTACAAATCAGCTAAGGAGAACAGAACTTTGTATCTGAATGCCAGAAAAACCACAGAAAAGTCATTTGAACATGATCATTATATACTACAAAATAGTTACAAAAATACACACACACACACACACACACACACACACACACGAGAGAGAGAGAGAGAAGTACAAGAGGCAGAGGGGTGGGAGGGGAAAGAATGGGATAAAGGAAGAATTAAGATGTGTCATAGACAAGTACCAAGTCACCACGATGAGTGTAATCCCTTTGTACTGCAAACATGTACCAATAAAACAGATACACAAAAGTCATCCGATATATTCAACATGACCTCTGGGATGGATTACATCATGATGCCTTTCCATCTGATAATTATTATGCTGCTAATCTTTGCCCTTCTTAGCAGAGATTCATTTCACTGACCTTTTCATTTTGAGTTGCGTCCCTGGCTTTGCACACAGCATCCACCCAAAGGTGACTTTGATGGAGCCTCTCAAGGCAGCCCCAGCAGGTCTCCATAAAAGTGGCCTCGGGGTTCTTTCCAATGCGACCCAGACTGAGTTGCCATGGTAAACAACCAGGCAGAATGCTATATTCAGTTTTCTGCCAGGGTCGCCATAGTGACTACAAAGGACTGCTCTAGAGAAGGACCTCACAAGGGCGGGTTTCCATGGTGACCCCATCCTGCATATTTCTAAACAACTTCCCCTCAGTTGTTCTGTAACCAATCATGCCAAATTCATTTTTAGAGCAATTATGGACAGATTTTTTTCTTCCCAAAGACACCATCATAACTCACAATGACTTAGAGAGATGGCCTATAGACAATTTGACCAATTTAAACTATAAATGGTAACATTCACAAATCATTAAATCAGCCCAGATACATTTTAGTTAGGACTTGTTTTGATAAGTAATAAAAAAATAACTGTAATCATTCTATGAAGTGTGTTTACTTGAAATCTTAATTAAAAATAACTCATAAAATATAGAATAATTAAAACTTCAAATTTCTGCAATCACAGCAGCTGTTTAAGTACAAACATAAAGGACATGACACACACAAATGAAGTCATAATATACACAGTGATCAATATTTTATGAGATATCAAGGATACTTTTGTAGATCAGAAGACAAATGTTTGTAAATCAAATTAAAAATATACAATATATATATATATAACATATATTTATATAGTCATATAAGTATATGCATATAAGTATATAATATTTGGGAAATCCTAGTTATGCCATTTTTCTGGCTTTGTGATTTTAACAACCCACCTAATTTTCCTTCCATTTTAAATATGTTATGACCATGTACCAACAATGATCATTGTGTAATTCAGGTATGTGATCATATGTATTTTAAACATGTACTAATAAAAAGTGAAAAATATCAACTTCTCCTCCTTTAAAAAATATGAATATAGACCATTCTGAAGATATTTTACTTATTTATTTTGGAGACAAGGTCTTGCTATGTAATTTAGGTTGGGCTTGAACTCTGTGTAGTCCAATCCAGTCTAAAACTCAGAGTGATCCTCTTACCTCAGCCGCCCAAGCACTGAGACTACAAACGTGTGCCATCATAGCCAGCTGAAGGTGCTTGGATTGTAAGTCATGTTGCTGTTCTCTTGAAATTTTGAAATACTAAGCTTTATATAATATTTAATCAAGGGCAAAGTTTTATCTACCCACTAATTTAAACCTTTACTATTATCTAACAAAAAACAAATTTTAAAGTTCAAATAGTACAATTAAAGTTTCTATACATGAGCCTGCTCTATTTTGCTCCTTCTAAGTGATTGAAAAAAAAATGTATATAAATGTGATGAAAAAAGGTTTAATCTTGAGTTCCTTCTCTTCATCCTGAGGTAAAATATGATTTTTTTCCTTGAACACTAATTCTTCCAATTCTAATTTTCTATTATTTTTCTCTCCTACATTCCTCTCTCCCCCTCTGTCCACAGCAGTCTACCACACCTTACTCACATGAAACGTGAGTATAATTTACCAACACTTGTTATTGAAGTCTCAGGTTCTGCCCAAAGCCAGGTCTGCATAGATCTCTTGCTTCAATGATCCAATCGGTTTCATGGATCAGAGTAGTCACTGTGATCAGCACTCTTTCTCTAAGTGTCTACTGAGTGACCATGAACAGCAGGTGCTGTTCTAGGGGCTGGGGACGTTTCAGTCAACAAACCACTACTTCCTGCATTAAGATATTTAGATTATGGAGGACAGAGAAAGAGAAACATTATATAAACACAATCAATGTATCATGTTGTGAAATAATTAAAAATAGGGATAAAATTAAAACAGGGGGGATGGGTGACAGTCTCAGTCAAGTAAGGTGGAGCAGCATAGTAGAGATTTACAGCGGGCTTTTCAGGGACTCCCTCAGTTACCTGAAGCAAATGTGTTCAAACTGTATCCAATGCCCACCTAAATCTTTAAAAGCAAAGTTGAAGTATTCTTCACTCAACAGAAGTTGATGAGAGCAACAGTCACCTTTCTCACTTCCATTCTCATTCTCTGAGATGCAGCCTGGCTCAAGGCTGGAAAGAGACCCCTTCACCATAAGCACTCACAAGATGCTTAATGCTTAAGAGAAAGCTTGGTAACATTTACTCAGTGCTTACAGACAATCATATAATGAATACCATGCTGCTAATAAGAATTTTAGACAACTACCTCTAAATTATTCTATCTTAAAAACCTACCAGATCGGCATCTGCCTTTTTATAGGTCAAAGCTTCAACTTTGGAATCCAGTTCTGCTTGTATTTGGTCTCTTCTTTTCATAACATCCTTTACATTAAAACAAGGATAAAACAAGTTTTACTTAGGTTAATTAAAATATTTATAACAAAAATATACATTTCTGAGTAAAAACAATCATCAGGAATATATTCTCTACATAAAAAGTTGGTTTCCTTACTCTTAAAATCTAAACAATAAGTGAATTACTTGAGAATACTTTTTATAAACCTTTCATTAGTTTTCTTCATGCATATTTCACCACTTTAAAGTATTGCATGTATGTTTAATACTTGAAAGAACAGTCTTCAGAAAAAGAAAGAACACCACAAACAAGTCACCCAGGGACTGGAATCTCATGGAGCAGCTGGAGTAACAGGGCCATGACCTCGAAATATCCAGGCAGTGCAAACCCTCTTACATGACCCCAAAGGGACACTTAATTGAGCAGAAAATTTCAGCAGGAATCAGGAAACTGAAATGTGCATTCACAATGTAATCATTTTATTTAAACTCCAATTGTATAAATACTTATCAATTAGCAACACCTATTTTTTATAGTTCCATCTTATTTTCTTAACCAGAATTTCAATATTTTTAAACTTAAAACACTCTTGTGAAGCAATGTTAATGCACAATCAATCTGTCTTTACTAATTTTTTCCAATCTTTTTCTTTTGGTGATTCACTTTTGTTAGACTTTACATACATATGAATTCTTTTTTATTTGTAGTTATCTTTCATTAGTATTCACAATACTCATAATAAAATTTTAACAATATAAATGGACTAGGTAGATTAAGGAGATAATAAAATAGAATCTGGGTAAGTGAACAAGTCAAATAGTGAGCAAGTGTAGGACACAGACGGAAGGGCCTCAGACAGATACAGACCCTCTGAGGGTTTTACAAAGAGACAATCTAAACAAGAATCAGTTTCATCGTTGTCATAAGATGGTTCTATAGCATTTGAATGAGAACTTAGAGATACATAATAGTATTCAGAGGACCACCAGTCTAGTTTTGCATCTAGCAGAAATCATGCTTAAAATATTCAAGAGGTTAATATTTTCCTTCATTTCAAATAACTCAATAAAAAATTTAATTAATCATCACAAATCTCTTTAAATTTACTTCACTGTGTAATGTGTCATTAATGTCAAAAATTCCTGCCTCTCTCTAATCCAAATGATTCATCCTGTAATTTAGTCTTACATATTTAAAATCTGTTCTGTAAAGTTAGAAATACTCTAAGAGATTGCTTCATAAGATAATTAGTGAAAAGTATATAAATTTAACCATTTTTATCAAAGAATTATTCATATTTAAGCTCAAACTGAAGAAAACATCTCAATGTAAAACAAAACTAGAAATACAATGTAAATACTACTGATTACCATAGAAATTCATAAAGTTATTCCATTGAGGCCCACACAGTAATTTTTGTAGTTGTGATAATTTTTGCACACCTTTAACAACATAAGATTTCACTTGCATAATATCCATCTTGACATAAGATAAGGAAAAACACTACCTAATCAAGGAAAAAGGATACACAAATAAGGTCTCTCTGAAGAGCCGCACAGGGGAGATCATTAATGAAATAAAATCAGAAGATGTGGCCAAAGAGATTAATTGAGAAAACCATAAGACTCTTCAACAATGAAATTTACAAGGTTTTGGGAAGAAAGTAAGATTTATTTACAGGAGGATTCCAGAAAAGTCAAGTAACAACAGAAGTCTGAAATATGCATATGCTGTTTAATAACTCTTGCAAAAAAAAAGCCTGAGCATGGTAAACAAAGGGCAAGCAGAGCTTATGCTGAAAAACTAAGATATTTTCCTTACCAATATTGAGTTAAAATTAAAAATCTCCAGAAATCAAGAACACATAACACCAAAAACAAGACAGGACTCAAATTATAAATGGCAGGAAGGGCTATACATCTAAATGCAAGCCGACTTCTGTCTTTACTCTCTCCCCAAAACATTCAAGATCAGAGAATGACTGTGCAAACTACTATGGGCACAGGATAATACTTCATGAAAAACATTAGCTTTGCAGATAGAATTGCTAAACTCCAAATATCTGGAAACTTTAATGAGAAAGTAAAATGCAAAACTTTGAATAACAGGAATAAAAGCCCTTTCAAATAGTGAAAGAAAACCATTTTAACTTGAAGGATTTCCTTTTGTAGCAACTAGAAGGCAAAATAAACATCAAAATCCTACTCAAGTACTTTCCACATAATGGTACCAAATCAGATGTACCTTAAAGTGTTTTGAAAAACAACTCTCATGAAAAGAAACTGCCAAAGCACTAAAAGTTGTTTTAAAATTTTAAAAAGCCTGAAAAACACTGTATTTCCTAAGTAAATCTTGACTGGGGATGTTTCTACGCTAATCATAAATTTTTGCTGATATTATTAAGTGCTCCTTCCTTTTATCAGTATGTTCTTCCATTCGCCTACTCATGTACACAGTGAAAAAATACTTGTTGATCATCTATGCACAAAACAGTGAGAAAAGCAGTGGCAAAAACAGATATTAAAAATTGACATTATAAAAATTAGAATCAAGTTAGGTACTGTATACAATTGTAATTAGATGTTCTTACCATTAACATCTCACTATAAAGCACGTATTCATGCACCACAGGAAGCAAGACCTCAGAGAGTCCAGACATCCGCTTTTCAGTGGCCTTACAGCAATTATCAATGCAACTGGCAATACCTTTCAGAGTATCGACCAGATCTTCTTCTGAAGCAGACCACAGAACATAAATTGGGCCATATTCTTTCATTTCATCAAAATATTCTAAAACAATAATTAATGACTTCATGAGTTCACTGATTTACAAGTAAGTATGTTTGCTGATTCAACCATCTATTTTTAATGTAAGTAAATGAACTCTAAGGACTTAGAAAAGAATCATCAAGGAATACTCTAACTCACTAAATTTTTTTTTACCAAAAAAGCTCAGAAGGTAACAGAAGGAATACTAATAGAAAATGTGGGGGAAAACGATTCTAATGTATAGTTCTGCAATTTTTGAACAAACCTGACGGTAGTACCATTTCCTATCACCACAACCAAAATAAATGACTAGAAAATAGAGAATGTCTATTTCCTGGATCACCATTTCTTTAAGATATGGTTCGTGTTGAATGGTTGATACTGACTTCATACAAACACATCCAAAATCCTAAACTCAGAAACCATCCAATGGTGGCACATGCTTGCAATCCCAGCACTCGGGAGGGTGAGGCAGAGGTTTGCTTTGAGTTGGAGGCTAGTTTGAGCTGCATATCATGACTTTTCCTCAAATAAAACAAAACAAAATCTTAAGCTCAAGGCTTACTTTACTACTATTATCTATGTACAGGGGCTCAAATAGATACTGACTGACAGAAACAAATGAAGACTGTCAAAGACTATCTTCAAAATCATTTAGGAATCAGAGATTTTTCACTTCACAGTTGGGCATAAATTGTGCCTTGAAGGTAAAATTCTAATGACTGCAGCTATATTAAATTAGTAAATGTGAAGATTCAAAAGAAATTACACAGCTTATCAGCAATACTACGTACCTCTTTCTTCTTTGTAAATCCTCTGAGATATTTTATCTATTAAATTAATCTTCTGGCTAAATATTTCAATAAAGTTATTCATTTCCATGAAGTCCTCTGGGCGGTTTTTCACCCCTCTCAAAGAGGACGCCATGGCTCTGACCGTTTGCCCCACCCTGCTCAGCAATCCGGGTCCTTGCTTCTTGTGAGATGAGAGCTCCTAGAAAAGAAAAATAGCACGCCTGTGATGAATCAAGTAAACATCCAAAGGCTCAATAAAAAAAGGACACCTAATTAGGAGAGTAAGGTAAAGATAATGAAACTCTTCATATACACTTTTTCAAGGTTAGTTCAAAGGAGATGAGTGTCATTATTTGCAAGAGTCTCTCCTCCAAATCTCAATCCTGGGGAAATATTCCTTCTCAAAGGATTAATTTAAACCTGGTGGACAGACTTTTCTTAGAGCATCAACCTTTCAAAGAATACAGTTTACAGAGGAAACACTGCTCAAGAAGATACTAGTGAAGAAGAGAGGATGATCTGCATTTTCCAACAGGAACTTAATGAAACATGATGGAGAGATTTGTCAGGGCCTACATTACTTCCTGCAAAAAGTGGAAAACATCATTACTTCTTTAGCTATAATAATAGCTGACATTTATTGAGAACTTAATACATTTCAGCACTGTGTTGACATTTTTATATATATAATGCACAGTAAACCTATTAGGTAGGTTCTGTTATTACCCTCATTACACAAAAGAAACATAGCAAGGTTATGAAACTTGTTCAAGACCTAAGAGCAGTTAAGTAAGTGGTAAGGCAGTATTAGAATCCCAGCAACGGGACTGCAGTGGCCTCCCTGTTAATCATGAGCCTGCTCTGCCTCCTTAACATCATTAGAATAGTGTGTAAATTGTGGGTAAATTGTGAAGTGGGTAAATTGTGACACCACCTCCACTGGCTGGCTGCCTGCAGAGACACATTTTTAATAAGACATGCAACTAGTTATTTCAGATTTCACCCAGGAAGGACAGCCACAGGCTTGCAAAACAGAGGAAATGCCATAAAGAGATGCACTAGATACAAAGTATCCCTTCAGAAAGGTGGCATGTTTTAAAAAAACAAATAAGACAAGAGACCAGCCTGGTGATGACTCTAGCATTCTTGGAAACTAGGTTTAGATTAAACCAGGAGATTAGGGTGTGGCAAAATTGGCAAGATCTGTTAATTACAAAATCTTAGGACTACAGCCCAGAACAGTTTGCAAAGCCCTTACTTCTTGTGACTTGGACTTCTTTTGAGAACTTCAGCAGGTTTTCAACAGAATGGCCTAGACCTGACATCTGCTGGAGGACTAGGTGACTCAAAAGGGACAGACCACACTGAGGTCTCTGCTACAGTGTTCTCTCATATAGCCCACTCTCTCCTGTAGATTATAGTTCTTCTACTGTTTTATGTGACCCAAATTCACTCTGCAGAGCCTGCTTCTTTTCCTACCTTTAATAAACACAAAATTTTGCTACCTTTTGTGCTTGTCTTGACAACTTCTTTGCTCAGGGCAAAAAAGAACCTAGAAACTACCTCCAGAACCTACAGGTACCTCCAGCACCCCAAAACCCAGAAGTTGAAGAGTAACACACCAGAAATAAGTCTTAAAGAATAATACTAATCACCTGATTCACAGATTCAAACATCATGTATTATTTACCTAAATATTTAAAAACATATTGAAAACTTCTCCAGTTTTTTTTTTATTTCTTGAAAATCTTAAACATAGAGGTATTTATGGATCTTAAAGATACATAACTATAGATAGATATGATGTAATCTTACAGACACCTATCTATATCTTGTTTGTTTCCAAGTAAGTATGACTTTGTATGTAAACAGTAACAGATGCCGTCACTGACCAGGAAACACATCCATCAGGGAGGCCATAGTCTCACTTGATAAAGAAAACACTATTAGAGATTAGCACAAATCACAACTAGCGCATTGTGACTGCAGCTGCTGACTATAGGAAATGTTTCTAACAGCTTTGAAGTCTCTGGAGTCAGGCCACAAATGTATTTCACTTAAGTTACAAGGGCTTCCAGAGAGCAGGACTATCCGTCACAATCATGATGAAGCATTTTTAGTCTCTACCACTTTGGCAACAACAGAGAGACATAAAACTCTACATTGGTCAGTAATTGCTTAATATTGACCTTTTGTCTTATATATTATCTTCCTTGCTGAGTTACAGCTTCATAAAAAAATACAAATAGAAGGAAAATACATAAGGTGGCTGTTGTATTAGAAATTTAGGAAACCTACCAAAGATAACCAAAGAAAAAAGAATGATTGTTTTTATCTGTCTCTATTTCTGGCTCCATCCATCCATTTAACAATGACTATTATCTTAATTTGAAAAGTCCTCAACCATTATTATTAAAAATAACATTAACAAAATAACTTATGTATGTGCAGAACTGCCTGTACACACAATGAGCACTCTAACATTTAAAAAAACTCAACCAAAAAAAAAAAAAAATAAGAGCAGGTGTACGTGAGGAAGACATAAGACCTCAGTCATGTTTACATGTAGATTTGACCCAGGGTTATTGCTGAAGGGTACAGCCCCACTACTCTTTAAAATCTCTACCTCAATTCAAGGACATACTGCCTGATTTGTGAAAGTAAACAAGAAGAAGCGTACAATCTACAAAACATAAATACCACAGGATTGTATGAGTATAAATCAAAATTATTTACCCCAGCTTCTGCAGTAAGAAAAACCTTGAAGTCTTCATTAAAAGTTAAAGTTGGATGATCAGCAATTCTATTCAAAAATGTATGTAATGCCTTCCTGCGGGTCTCAATGAAGTCATCGTTAAATCGCTCCACCATTCCTTTCACTATAAACTTTTCTGGTAATGGCTGAGACCAAAAACACAAAACGGAAAACAAAAGCTATCTGAGTATAACGTGGCACAGGTTTACAAGGAACTCTATACTTTTTCTTTTGACAAGACTAGCTAACATCAAATTATTTCTTGTAGTAACAACTTTTAAAAATTGACATTGTTAGAGCCCAAAACCTCAGTCTACGTTCTACTAGTTTCATTAAACAATCTACATACTTAGATTAAAAAGTTTAGAAGTAAATGTGTCTAAGATACATTTTTCTAAAACAAATGGATTACACTGGATTTAGGGGTCTCATGTTACATGTTAAGCATTCTAAGACTCAAAAAATAAAGAATGAAAAAGGAAAAAAAAAAAGAAAAAGAAAGCTAAGAAAAAACTCGCACACTTACTGGAATAATCAGAGTAGGGTGTGCTTCTTCAAGTTTTCCCTTCAACCAAAGGAAATCTTGGTAACGTCTCCTGACTTCAAATTCACTAGAGTCAAATTCCCCACGAGATGTCTGCAGAAAGTAGGGGAAAATAACAGCGCAAGCTTTATAAGACAGAAGACATTTGCCTAATGTTATTTTAGACATTCTGAAGTAAACGAGTCTCTAAGAAAAATTAACAAATTGTAATTATTCAGTGTTTGTCAGCCTGTATTTTTTTAGTTATCTATTCAAGTAGCAGATGAAATAAAGCAAACTTTCTGGTATTTCCAGAAAGAAAGCAAACATTATGCTTAAATTTAAAGTCCAAACTGAAAAATCTGTCTTACAACAACCATCTGCCTTCCACAAGATTTTAAATACTATTATCTTTGGCATGATTTTCTCACATAAGAAAAAAGTGTGTTCTGAATTAGGTTTCAAATATATTTCTTTTCACAAGATGATTAGAATTCAGAATTTGAGGAAAGTCCTATTTTTACAATTTGGAAAATAACCTGGATGTGACTGAGAAAAATGTTTTCTTGGAATTTGCTCTAATGAATTGCTTGCTAAAATTTGCTTTTAGTATAAAAAATTTTAACATTTTTCAGAGTGATTTTACACTGTATTTTTAATAATGTAATTAATGAATATTTGATATGAAAAGAAAATTATTCTGCCATTTCTCAAGGAGTTTTGAGTTACATTCCCAAACTCCTGAAAATTTAGTGAATACATTAAGATATCTGTTCTCAGCCAACCAAAAACCTATGCCATCACATATATGAACATGAGTATAATATCAACTTCCCATGTACTACCTCAATACCAAACCAAAAACAAATATATGGCTTCTGTAGTTCATACTTACCTCTCATTACAAAGTATTATTTTCCTACACTTTCACTAAGTTTTTATATATTAAAAAGTATGTGCAGTAATATTTAAGTTGAAATTTTCCTAAAGAACTAAAGATAAAAAAATACTGCACATATATCTCATTTACACCAAAAATATCACCCACTCAAACAGATAAACCAATTGTAAAATTAAGCCTTTGAAGACATAAGATGCAATCCTGTCATGAAACAATTTGTGAAATCTATATTTCCAAGGCTTAATCTTTTAAAATGAATGTTTAAAATATCATACAGTACAGCTTAGTAAAATATTCCTTTTGTAATGTGAAAAAAATGGAGGTAAATGGCATACAGAAGTTTAAGAAAGTAAATGGTCATGAAACACTGCAAAAACTATTTCCAAAAGGCTAAAAAATAAGGAAATAGTAAAAATAGGAAAACTGAATCTAGTTGAAACAGTTTAACAATATATACATAATAACTGATATGTGTACAGATAAATGTAAATACACACATGCATGCATACATACACAGGCATATAAAAATGGTTTAATGTCACTCATTAAGAAATACAGAGCACCTCTCTGTGCCAGGCACCTATGTACAGGTTCAATACCAATTTCCAAGAAAATAAATTGGCATAACTGACAATAAATCCACTCAAAAATGGGTAATTAAAGTAAGATTGGGCAGTCCATGTCCTCAAGCGTTTCCAGTTCTTTAGTAAACATAAGAAGGTCTTATAAGTTTTAGAAAAATGATATAAAATCAAGTAAATTAATTGGCTGATTCTGTTCTCATCATTTTTTCATTGAATTTAAAGAATTCTCTAACATACCACAACCAAAGAAGGAAGCAGAGGGTAAGTATAAGTACCAAGAAAAATATGCCGTCTCTAATGATACTTCAGTCAATTCCTAAGGGGACTATGACACAAAAAAATAGCCAACGTCAACTGGATTTAGAACATGAGTACTTTCCCTATAGCAGAGAATCATTCTCTCTCTTAAAGTAGCCAAATGTGGTCATTAGAAGATAGAAAAAAGCTTCCAAACTATAGAAACAGTTGGGTTTGAGATAGCTTTTCAACTTGGAAAGAATATGTGTTCTACAAAGTTCATTTGGAACAGATATAATGCTTCTAATACAATTTTACATGCAAGCAATACTGTAAATGATGGTTAATTGTTTATGTATGACCATAAAACCTCAGAAACTTAGTTTGATTCTAATAAAACCCATGTAATCTATAGACCAAAATTCAATAAACACTGATCTTTGTCAGCTGTAAGCAATTATTCTAAATTCTAAAGATTTACAAAACTGTTTGGAAATAAAACAAATCCTAATCATCAACCCAGTCTATCAAGAATATGACTGAAACCCCTACCTACACACACACTGGCAGGCATATACAGATTTGTCTTCAAGATGCGGATGTGGGAGAGAAGTCTACTGCTAAATCTCTTAGTTCTTACTTCTACACTAGAATGGGAAAGGATTCTCTAGACCTTCAAAAGAAAAAATATGTACTGCTCCTTTAAAGCAGTCACTTTAGATATCTAACCCAGAGAATAAGACATAATGTCCCACAAGAACCGATGCCATGAAATTGGGTGTCATGGTGCTCACTATTATTTATAGTCAAATCATTCTGAACTCAAATGATTCTTAAGTATTCCCAAGAAGGAGATTGTCAGTATGTGTGTGAATATGTATATGTGCATTCATCTATGTAAGCTTCAGTGCCCATGAACATAAGCATTTATAAAACTGAAATTTTCTCAAGGAAGGCATTTCTGAATGTCCATTAGATGGGGTACTCATGAAATCTTATATTTTTCCCTTCACAACTCTTACATCTATAATTAAATATCTAATTCTTAGTATTGTCACCCCACCCATCACCCTGACTGATAGATTTATGAAGGAAGAAGGGTCTTCTCTAAGGTCTGTCCTAATGAATAATGCTATCTCTATACACAAGCCAGTACTGGGAACCAATAGTCAGGCAATAAAACTTCATAGAAAAATTTATCAAATGTATAAATGAAGGTAAATGCAGAAGGAGAGAAGAAGCATATGACCCAATTTCTCTAGATGAATGTAATTTTTATATCTTGTAAATATATTCCAATAAAAATGAAACAAAAGATCTTATGTAAATATAAAAATGCATTTTAGAATTTTGACACAAGCAGATATAATAAATAAAACATCCATACAACAAATAAGAAGTAGAATAAATCTTTAGATTATTAAAAAGCAACACAAGTAAATGAAGATTATTTAATAACCTAATAGATATTAGATGCTTATATATTTGTGCCTGTAATTCAAATTTCCATTTACGCGAATATATTCCATATAATAAGGATGTTGGTAAAAGTAATAAGGAGTAAAACAAAGGAACTCAGCACATTTGTTTTGGAAAGAAAACAAATCCTAATCAGCACATAATAGTTAAAATTAAAAATAGTTTGCCATATTCATATATGAATACATAAAAATACAATAGAAAAAATATAGTATGAAAGTAAACTGGGTTTAAATCCATCTCAGTAAATTATACTGTTTAATCTTTGTTTGTTGCTGAGTTCTTTTGCTCTCATTAATAAATTAAGGTAAGTTACAATATTTTAGAATAATTAGGAACCTCAATGAGTTAATATGTAGAAAATGGTTAAAACATTATTTAATGCAAAGTAGCCATAATCAATATGTGCTAGTTTATATATTCCAATATTATTACTGTACAAAAGCAGTCCATTCAAAGTATGATGTAAAGATGGATGAACCATATGTTTTATTAATCAGAATAAATCCATTGGGTGACTTATATAAGATATACATTTTTAAGACTCAAAAGTGATGACAAAATAATTCAGCTTCACAAATTTTCTGCTTGGAAAGACAATGACGATGTTTGTTATTGAAACAGTAGGAACAGAAGAGACCTGCCTCTATTCTTAAAAGCATTCAATGAACATACTCCATTGTCTTACAACCCTCTGAGTTTAGTACTGTTTTCCTATTTACAGATGAGGAAACCCATGAGAAGAACTTTGTTAAGATGCGCAAGGCACACAGCAAGCTAGAGAAATCAAGATTCAACTCTAGATTGTCTTATTTGTGCCACCTCTTGATATAGCTAAGATACTACAATTTCTATATTAATTCATTGACTAAAAATTAAATTGCTTGCTTACTATATCCTGAGAAATGCATTTGGAATGAGTTAACTTTAGATTTAGTCACCTTCCTTGAGAAGCTGAGGACTCACTGGGAACAAATACAAAACACACTTATGTACTCAAAAACAGGTAGATGGCAACCGCTGAATATTTATTATGTGCTCAGCACTCTGCTAAGTGTTTTACATTGATTATCCTAAATCAATTCTGACAACACTACAGCTCTAGGGTGTATTACCATCTCAGTTTTATGGATTAAAGGAAAAAATACCCTGAGGTTTGGAAGGATTAAATATATGGCTTTAATTTCTTTCCCATACTGATTCCAATGTTTTAAATTCCTCAAGTTCAGTTACAACAGTCTGAAAGAACAGAGGAAAGATGACAGTTTCAGTACTGAGGCAATGAACAACAGAGGAGCCTTTACAGCGAGTGGACATTCTGAGTTGTGTCTGGAAAAGAAAACTGGTCCTTGTTAGACACAACACTCAAAACAGAAAGCACAAAGTCTTAAAAGCAAGTGGTAGTTCCAGGGATACAGCTCAGCAGCACAACACCTGCCTGCCAAACATGAGGTCCTGAGTTCCATTCCCAGTACCAAAAAAAGGAATAGAAAGAATAAAAAGATTTAGAATACAGAGTAAAGACAGCCTAGTATATTTGGAGAGCAGAGCAGCTCTAACGGAGAGCTGTGATTCTGAACACGGAGTCAGAGACAAGTCTTAAAAGAAGTTCTTTACATGTCACATAAGGGGTTTAAATTTTTGTACTGTAGGAAAAGGGCCAAAAAAAAAAAAAAGAAATTTAACGAACTAATAAGGAGATTAGTTGTACACATTTTTAGGAAACATAACTGCACCCATGTGGAGGCTGCAATGGAAGATGTACAGGAACACAGTTCAAACTTCACAGCTTCATAAAAGGACTGGAAATGTAGCTCAGTGTTAGAAATGCTGGCCTATTGAACCCGCGGTCTTGAGTTCAATATTATAAATAAATAAATCCATCCTAGAGATGAATATCCCTTTACATTTATAAACTGCAGGTGTTTAAAGGAAGACTGTAACACATTTTCTAACGTATAAATTGAATTTTTTATAGACTACCATTAAATAAAGGACCTACTGAATAGCTATTTGGTTATTTTATTTTGTCTAAGGTAATATATTTATCAAGAGGATTAAAGAGACTTCAGTTCTAGATCTACTTCTGCCCTTGAATTACCCAGGCAAGTACTTCATATATAAGACAAAGAGGTTACTTATTCCAATTTGGAAAACATGTAGTATCATGCTTTCTCATCTTCATGAGAAATAAAAATATAAAATATTTTGCCATGTTCTTAACTTTTTTTACTTTCTTCATCTTACTTTCTTCACTAGCAAGTTAAGACTCTTTTCTTTATAATTAGTATAAAAACCTAAATGTTCTTATACTAATAAATACAATGAAATGAATATTTCTTAATTCAAATGTCACGTGGTTCATACATAATAAGCAAAGCACAGATATGATGCAATGTCTTACTCCAAATAGTTGAAAAAATAAGTCAATTCAACTAAGATCCTGTAAAATTAAAAGTTATGATGAGCAAGAAGCACTTCCAAAAGTCCAAAGAGAACATAATATTCAAGAAAGTGCTTATTCACTGTTTACCTTTGTAATGATTCTGTAAGTAATGAAAGTTTCAATTGTAGTAACATGGCTTTCAGGTTCATCCACTGTAATGAACAGATCCTTCAAATCTGATTCATCTTCAAACTTGATTTGGTTTATCATTGATAAAGGGGATGTGGGCATCATAGGACTAAAGGAATTAATGTCCATCAGTGAGGCATCCTGGAAAATAAAACATTCAAATATTAACATCAAATGAAAAAAGTAGCTAACAATTCAATTTCTTACATAGCATCAATATTAATAAATTATTTAAGAACAAAAATGACAACTGGACTTCCGGTTAAGTATAACAAGCTAAAATGAATGTCAGCAAAGAAACCATGAGGTGGGGCTCAATCATACATTGTTGGTAGAAATGTTTCCCAGTACAGCCACTATGAAAATCAGTATGAAGGTTACTCAAAAAAAAAAAAAAAAAAAAACAAAAACAATGGCGCTAACAATTGAGCCAACTATAATTTCCTTAGTATATACCCAGAAGAATTAAAGTCGGGTGACTTGCATATGCACGCTTATTGTGTCAAACTTTATAATAGCTAAGCTATGAAGATGGTCTAAATACCTATTAGGTGATGAATGGATAAAAGAACTGTGGCATGTACACACAACAGAGTATCATTCAGACACAAAGAATGAAATCATGTCATTTTCAAGAAAATGAATAGTATTATAGATCATCATGTTAAGTGACTACAGAAAGACAAATGCTACATCTTCACCAATCTATGGAACTGAAGAGAAAAAACAAGAGAACATTACAGTAAAAAGGAGATTATTACTAAAAGTAAGAAAACAAATGGGAGGTTAGAAATATAATCAAATATATTACATGAATATGGAAACATGGAAACATTATTCTGCATAATTAATGTGTATCAAAACAAAACAAGAGACAATTATATGACAAGTTGCTTACCATCATTATTTCTCAAGGAACCAAAACCATGACGACATAATACTTCCCACTTACTAAAATAGCTAGAATGTTAAAAATCAGATAATAAATGTGAGTGTTAATCTTGATGTCAAATTGGTTGGCTTGAGAGACACCATGGTGGCTAGTAAAGCACATTTCTGGATGTCTGGTGTCATGGTTTATGTCTGTGGCCCCCAGGCCTCATAAGGTTGCATTGTACATTTGTGATGCTTCATTGTCTAGTGCTTGGATGAACGGTGTCAGTGTTCCACCCACATAGGAGTGGAGCCAGGATGTGATGGAATGGCAGGAAGAAGGTGTGTCTTGCTCTTTGCTGGTTCCTGTTTGCTATTTGCAGCTACCATGAACTGCGGCCCAGCCATGCCTGCCTGCCTTGGAGCCAACTAAAAACCTCCAAAAACTGTAAGAAATAAACCTTCCCTTTCCCAACTTGGGCATCAGGTATTTTGTCTCAGTGACGAGCATAAAGTAACTAAGACATCTGGGTTGGTCAAGGAGGTGTGACCTTGTCCCTAGCCTCTTCTTGGGACTTCTCTTTTGCTGCTTCCCAGATGCCATGAGTTGAGCAGCTTTCTGTCATCCTGCACTTCTGCTGTGATATTTCTGCCTTAGAGAGTCTGCCAGCGTGGTCTGAAATCATGAGCCAAAATTAACAAGTTTTCCCTTAAATTGTGAACATCAAGTATTTTGTTTTAGCAACAGAAAGCTAACTAATACAATAGGTGTTTGAGACAATGTGAAGCAGTGGGAAGTCTCATATATACTGCTAGTGGGAACGTAAAATGGCCTGGCTATTTTTCACCAAGAGCCCAGTCACTGGTCAAACTGAAGCCAGATGTAATAGCACATGCCTGCAGTTTCAGGCCTTGGGTGGCTAAGCTAGAAGAATCACAGTTTGAGGTCTGTCTGGGCTACAGAATAAAACTCAAACAAACAAAAAATGTTAAACATAGTTACCAAAAAGACCCTGCAATTCGATTCCAAGCAATATTTGTAAAACACTTGAAGACACATGTCCACCCAGAAGCTAATGAATCAGTATTCACTGGAGCATTATTCTAATGAGGTAGAAACCACCCAGTGTCCATCAAATAACTCCACTCATGAAATATTCACAGTGGGACACATATGGAGACTGCAACTGGATCTGCGATTTGTTAGTGCTCAAAGAGTGAGGGGTGAAAGGGTTGATAATTAAAAGTCACAAAGTTTCATCATAAAGTCAGAAAAATATCTTAAAATATCCTGATCATAGATATGTAACTCTGTAAATATGCCAAAAATGATTACATTATATATATATATATATATATATATATATATATATTAAATTGAGTGTGGCAGATAAACTGTACATCATTAAAACTGTTAGAAAATATATTAAAAATATAGTATGTTAAACTTTTTATATTTGATTCTACTTAAAATCCCAAACAAAAAAATAGTAAGAAAGAAATGAACAAAAGGCATAATGCCTTAAAGATCCTTGTGATTTGAAGATATGTATTCCCTCCAAAATTCATGTTGAAACTTAACCCTGAATGTAGTGGTGTTAAGACGTAGGGGCGCTCAGGAGATGATTAAGTAATCAGGTTAAAGCTCTTGTAGATGACACTCTCGTGATCTTATAAAAGGGCTGCCAGGAACTAGCTGGCTGCTGGTTTTTTGCCTGTTTGCCTTGTGAGGACACAGCAACAAGGCCACGTCTTAGAAATAAAGAGTTCCCCCCAGTAGACATGGAACCTGTCAGAACCTTGATCTTGGACTTTACAGCTTCAGGAACTGTCACTAATAAACTCCCACTGCTAAATTGCCCATCCTCAGGTATTCTGCACAGCACCATAGATTATAAAGAAGGATAAAGAAGGAACTGTAACAGGCGAGATACATCAATTACTTTAGAAATCAGAAATATGATCATCAAGCACTAACTGAAACAGTTCAAACAGAGATGAAAAATAACGTAGAAAGGATGGTAATCACGGAAGAAGCAAGAATATAATTATATAGAATTCCAGAGTGACTAAAGAATTAGAAGTATCAGTAGTCTGAGGTGTTAGAACTAAAACGAGAGAATTAGTTTAAAATCTAATCAAACAAGAATTTCAGATTCACTCACCTACTCCATAAAACTAGGTGACATTTCTACCCAAATGCCACAGAATATTAGCAGTGTGCTTTATACAGGGTCGCTAAACTTGAGGGCATCAGGTTAAGTAAGGGGAGAAGCCAGTGAATGTACGGATAATAAGCAAAAGTTCTGTATCCAATCATCTTTCTTCACTTTGTCCCAAGAACATCTGGGGGAAAATTTGAAACCCACTGTCTTCATCTATCCTGGCTTTCTCCAAGGAGCTCTGGCTGCTTTCAAAGGAGACTGGTACTTAGACAGAAAAAGGTAAGAAATGTTAAAATTTCACAAATATGTCCAATTCTAATTTGATACACAGGGCTTATCTAACCTTTCCCTATTTCCCTATTTCTTTCTCCAGCAGTAAGAAGTCTGGCTCCCCATTTTCTAAATACATTTACTTATGTGTTCAATCTCTTTGTGCCAATTTCTCCATAAACCGGTTGTCCCCTCCTCCACTGCTCTAGCCAGAGCGGCCATGGCAGCTTCATTTTCAAGCTCACACCCGTAGGTGCCTCCTTGCCCCAATCTCATGGAGCAGCTTGCTGGGCCACTCTGATCATCTTCTCATTTGGCTTCTCTGCTGGGTTCTATTTAAACAAAGGAAAGGGCAGAAATGGGAAGGAAGTACTACATGTTATTTTTGCAAAGAAACATTTTTAAACTGAAACAAAGGGATAATGTGAAGTCAATTTTAAAGTCAAAAAGACCTCACTGACATGTAAAGAAAAAACTAAATACAGTACCTGAGTAATTCGGGCAGTAATTAGTTATGACTTATTCTCAAATTCTACACTTTCTCTTTTGATACATTTTCCCAAAAAGTAAGAATATAGATGTTGGAATCAAAAGTTTCACATATTATGAAAAATATTAACGTTAAACTCACATATTCAGAGATTAAATTTGTGACAAAGCCCATCCTTAGTTTGCCAACTCAGCTGGCCAGTCCTAAGTGAAAAAGGAGATCAAAATCAGTTTCTAATCCTCTCTGCTGCTGTCTGAGCAGGGAATGTACAATCATTAATTCAGATTATTTATGTTAAATTAAAAAGTTGAACTTGACCATCTTCAAAATCTCTAAGTGTATTACTAGAGTAAAATGTTAAAAAGGTACTTTTTGTGAAACTATTAGTGGGAGGAAAAGAGATGAAATAACAATGTCCTTGTTTTTTCCCTTAAACACAATCAATAAAAATTCTTTTGAGGCATCAATAATATCCAGAGCACCTCTAAAGGCTCTTTCCACAAAAAGTCTAGCTGTACAAACTCTCCCATGTAGCATATAGGAAATCCTTAGATGCAATAACATAAGAAAGATTCTTGTGGGACAAAATAACTGAAGAGACAAAAATAAAAAAGGCCCATTAAACTAAGAAAGACGGGCTATTTTGAATCACAAAAAGATCTGTGCAAGGTAAATACTTAGGCATGTTTTGGATTAAGGTATAGAGGTCATACTTCATCTGGATCAATCAGACACACAAAAATACAAAGATAACAAATGTCATGAAAGAAAAATTTAGTGAAATAAATCATTTTACATTTCTATGAGATGAAACAATAAATTTTATCCATGACTAAATGTATGTGCATCATTGAGGCACAGGAGAAGAGACAGAGGGGAAGTGGGGACGGGGAAGAGCAAAGGAGCTTAGAAGCCATAGAGTAAATAATAATAATAATAATAATAATAATAATAATAATAATAAGCTATTCCGGATGTTGGTATTGCTATTGAGTTTAATGTTTTTCTATGTTGCTTTCTGCATTTTCCAAGAATTATAAAATAAACACACAGTATTTTGTAATCAGAAACAAATGTTAAACTTGTTGGAATCAACACTGTACACTATGTGTTCAGAGACAGTAAGAACCCTGGTGATAATGTTAACAGAGTTGAAGGGGACCATTTTAACAGAAGACTTGGATCACATTTCTTTTTCTTTTTTAACTCATCAAGATTGCATATTTAAATAGAAAATTCAAAATATATCAGCATTCAATGAAAATGTGATTGTTCAAATAAAGTATGGAATGTTAGCATAATGGAATACTAACCACCTATTAAGAGAATTCAGTACTTGGAAA